GCCCTGGAAAAAAAAGTGTTAATCTAGCTTAAATTAAAAGAAATACGTCTAAATAAAATGTGAAAACTTTTGTACCATCATATAATTATGCAAATTTTAAATGACTGGTAATATTCATATAAATTATTTTTTTTAAGATAGGAATCGTAGCAGTGTTTTCATATTCTAATAAATTTAGTAAAACGATTTTAGGACCACTATTAATTAAGAACCAGCAATTAACGCTCAGCCATGAATTAACTATTGTGGCGTATGCTGATAAAATGTAATGTTAAACGGCAAATTTATGCTTTGTTAATTTAAACGTCGCTACTTAAATTCACTTTGTCATCATAAAAATTCTTACCACTTAAGTCAACCGCCTGTCAGATCTTGAAACATTAAATTTTTATTCAAAATTCGCACATCCCGCAAAAGAGAAACTGATGACAGGGAGTCACAGGTTCGTGAACCGATCTTTCCCTGAGGTTAAATTTTCTTTTAATTTGCTGACTAAACGCAGAAATATCGCGTTAAATTTAAATAATTAAAGTCAAGACTCGTGCAATTAATTCGTGAATAATAAAGCGAACGAATAGTGAAATTTCTTTTCATGGATGAAAATAAATTTTGGAATGCAACAAATCCTCTATGGAAAAAACAATATAGAAAATACTAATCATAGTGTAAGAGAAAAAAAGAAGGTTTCACATTCTTAAAAAAAGACACTTGGGCGCCCCGGAGAAGGTTTCGCTTTCTTTAAAAAAGACAGTTGGGACCCTCGAGAAGGTTTCGCATTCTTACAAAAAAGACAATTGTGACCCCCGAGAAGGTTTCACATTCTTAAAAAAAAACAGTTGAGGCCGCTGAGAAGGTTTCAGATTAAAAAAAAAAACAATTGGGGCCCCGAGAAGGTTTCACATTATTAAAAAAAAGACAGTTGAGGCCCCTGAGAAGATTTCGCCTTTTTTAAAAAAGGACAGTTGGAACCCCTGCGAAGGTTTCGCATTCTTATTAAAAAGACAATTGTGCCCCCCGAGAAGGTTTCACATTCTTAAAAAAGACAGTTGGGGCGGCCGAGAAGGTTTCACATTAAAAAAAAGATATTTGGCGCCCTCGAGAAGGCTTTACATTTTTAAAAAAGACAATTGGGACCTGGAGAAGGTTTCACATTCTTAAAAAAGACAGTTGGGGGCCGCCGAGGTTTCAAATTAAAGAAAAAACAACAGGGGCCCCGACAAGGTTTCACATGCTTAAAAAAAAACGTTGAGGCCTCTGAGAAGGTTTCGCCTTCTTTAAAAAAGGACAGTTGGGACCCCTGAGAAGGCTTCGCATTGTTATTAAAAAGACAACTGTGGCCCCCAAGAAGGTTTCACATTTTTAAAAAAGACAGTTCGGGCCGCCGAGAAGGTTTCAGAATAAAAAAAAACGATTAGGGCCCCAAGAAGGTTTCACATTTAAAAAAAAAGTCGTTGGGGCCCCGGGAGGGTTTCACTTTCTTTTAAAAAAGTCAGTTGGGGCCCCTGAGAAGGTTTCACCTTCTTAAAAAAAACAGTTTTGGCTCCCGAGAAGGTTTCGCATTCTTAAAAAAGATGGTTGGGGCCGCCGAAAAGGTTTCAGATTAAAAAAAAACCAGTTGGGGCCCCCGAGAAGGTTTCAGATTAAAAAAAAAACAGTTGGGGCCTCGAGAAGGTTTCACATTATTAAAAAAACCGTTGGGGTCCCCGAGAAGGTTTCATTTTCTTAAAAAAAAATTAGTTGGGGCCCCTGAGAAGGTTTCACCATCTTAAAAAAACAGTTGGGGCTCCCGAGAAGGTTTCACATTCTTAAAAAAAGACAGTTGAAGCCCCTGATAAGGTTTCGCCTTCTTAAAAAAAGAACAGTTGGGACCCCTGAGAAGGTTTCGCATTCTTATTAAAAAGACAATTGTGCCCCCCGAGAAGGTTTCACATTTTTAAAAAAGACAGTTGGGGCCGCCGAGAAGGTTTCACATTAAAAAAATGATATTTGGCGCCCTCGAGAAGGCTTTACATTTTTAAAAAAGACAACTGGGACCTCGAAAAGGTTTCCCCTGCTTTAAAAAAGTCAGTTGGGGCCCCTGAGAAGGTTTCACTATCTTAAAAAAAAAACAGTTTTGGCTCCCGAGAAGGTTTCGCATTCTTAAAAAAGACAATTAGAGCCGCCGAAATGGTTTCAGATTAAAAAAAAAAACAGTTGAGGCCCGGAGTAAAAAAACCGTTGGGGCCCCCGAGAAGGTTTCATTTTCTTTAAAAAAAGTTAGTTGGGGCCCCTGAGAAGGTTTCACCATCTTAAAAAAAGCAGTTGGGGCTCCCGAAAAGGTTTCACATTCTTAAAAAAAAGACAGTTGAGGCTCCTGAGAAGGTTTCGCCTTCTTAAAAAAAGGACAGTTGGGACCCCTGAGAAGGTTTCGCATCGTTATTAAAAAGATAACTGTGGCCCCCAAGAAGGTTTCATATTTTTAAAAAAGACAATTGGGGCCGTCGAGAAGGTTTCAGAATAAAAAAAAAACGATTAGGGCCCCGAGAAGGTTTCACATTTAAAAAAAAAATTCGTTGGGGCCCCGGGAAGGTTTCACTTTCTTTTAAAAAAGTCAGTTGGCCCCTGAGAAGGTTTCACCATCTTAAAAAAAACAGTTTTGGTTCCCGAGAAGGTTTCACATTCTTAAAAGAGACAGTCGGGGCCGCCGAGAAGGTTTCAGATTAAAAAAAAAAAACAATTGGGGCCCCGAGAATGGTTTACATTTTTAAACAAATCGTTGGGACCCCCGGGAAGGTTTCACTTTCTTTTAAAAAAGTCAGTTGGGACCCCTGAGAAGGTTTCACCATTTTAAAGAAAACAGTTGGGGTTCCCGAGAAGGTTTCACATTCTTAAAAAAAGACACCTGGGGCCCCGGAGAAGGTTTCGCTCTCTTTAAAAAAGACAGTTAGGACCCCCGAGAAGGTTGCACATTCTTAAAAAAAACAGTTGGGAACCTCGAAAAGGTTTCACCAATTTAAAAACAAGACAGTTGGGATCCCCGAGAAGGTTTTACACTCTTAAAAGAGACAGTAGGAACCACCGAGAAGGTTTCACATTAGGAAAAAAGAGAACTGTGGCCCGCAAGAAGGTTTCACTTTCTTCAAAAGACAATTTGGGGTGCCGAGAAGGTTTCACATGCTTAAAAAAAGCCGTTGGGGCCCCCGAGAAGGTTTCAACGTCTTAAAAAAAAAAAAAATAGTTCGACCCCCGAAGAGGTTTCACTTTCTTTTAAAAAATATCAGTTGGGGCCCCTGAGAAGGTTCACCTTCTTAAAAAAAAATTATTGGGGCTCCCGAGAAGGTTTCACATTCTTTAAAAAAAAGACACCTGGGGCCCCGGAAAAGGTTTCATCTTTTTAAAAACGAAACAGTTCGGACCCCCGAGAAGCTTTCATATTGTAAAAAAAAAAATGTGGTCCCAGAGAAGGTTTAACATTCTTAAAAAAATTTTGCGAAAATTATTCCGACGGAAATTTCTTCGCCCTTAAAGTGTAATCTAACAAATCCTGAAGTAAAAATTAGTGGCGCAATTAACATCCTGCGGTCCGCACAAGTGTGGACAATATGAAATATATTTAAAATAGATAACTGACAGGAAAGAATGTAGATATTCTCAATTGTTCAATACAATACATGCTTAATTTCGTTTGTTTATATTTCGAGAAAATTGAACTATTAATACGTTCAGATTTCAGGCATCAGTTAAAATGAACTGAAATTTGGTTTTGTCTCTTCAACGCAAAAGAACAAAATATATAATTAATTACTACACTCAGTTCTTTCCCTAAAACACTCATAAATTTGATGAATTCGACAACACTGTAAAATGAGAATATGAAATACATTTAAAGCAGATAATCAACGAGAAAAAATGTAGATATTCTCAATTGATCAGTACATGCTTAACTTCGATTGTTTCTATTTCGAAAAAAATTACTATTAGCAGGTTCAGATTACGGGCATCAGCGATTAACATGAACTGAAATTTGATTTTGTCTCCTTAATGCAGAAGAGCGAAATGATTAATCAATTAACGCAGTTAATTTTTTCCCCAAAAACACTCATAAATTTGAAGATTTCGGAAAAACTATAAGATGACGAATACATTTTGTTTAACGATACGATTTACCATGCTTCCAATAACCTTAATATATTTGCAAAATTTCACAGCATTCAGTTTTTGCAATTTCAATGTTAATTTGTAATTTATTGTTGTAAAATTTTATTTTTGTCCCAAAAATTTGGATGTCAAGGGTAAAAATTCAACACGGATTCATAAATCATATATGCAGGACATGTTATTTTATAAAATTTAAAGAATTCAGCAAATTTCAAGATGACGTCATCACTTTGGGAAGGTCATAAATGAATAAATTTTGATTAACGATATGTCCATGCTTCCTGTAATCCTAAAACGTTAAATTGTAAAATAAAATTTTGAATTTTTCCTCAAAAATTTTGATGTTTAAGGCAAAAATTCAACACGGATTTTTAAATCACACATGAAGGTGTATGTAATTTTATCAAAAAATGCAAGATAACGTCATCATTTTTTAAAAGGGCATAACCAAAAAATTTTGATTAACGATTTACCGTGCTTACGATAAACCGAAAACGTTTGCAAGAATTCAAACCATTCGGTTTTGTAGTTTCAAAGTTAAATTGCAAAATATTGGTATATAATTTTGATTTTTTCCCAAAAACTTGAATGTCTAGAGTAAAAACTGAACACGAATTCATAAACCACATGAGGAGTATCTAATTGTATACAATTGAAAGATTATTTACTAATATAAATTGTGAAATTATCTGTCTAATAAATATCCAGACAGACAACAGACAGACATACGGAAACGTACACTCAGGAACTAACAAATAAACGCACCAACAGCATTCGTGTGAAAATTTGATAAAATTTAAATTGTTCCTTCAACAAGCATAAAATCCACATTATTATTGATACTAATGTTAAGAAACACATACCTGGTACTCATATGACGGCTTCAAATAATACAGCGCCATCTCTTGGTGGAAAACCGGGGTTGCAGAACCGCTTAGTGGTGGCACAATCCACACCCAATCAGCCGGACATCCGTGTCTCAACCTCACTTCATTCTCAAGATGTTTCATAAACGATTCAGAAGCAGTATGATGATCCACAATAGTCACTCCCTTTGCTTGGAAGCTATGCAAGACTGCGACGTTTACTTCTACCATAGCTTTATCCTTCCACAAAGTCACAGGTGTGCGGGTATCCAAACCCATTCCCAACGCTACAGTTTCCAACATGTTCAATCTATGGGTGTCACAGATATTTCTGCATCCAATTTCTGTACTCATGTACCAGCCGTTGAAAGGAGCTGCTGTGAACTGCAGCCCACCTACGTCGAACATCATGTTGGAGACCGCAGGGAGCGCGTACCATTTCAGGCCCAGCTCTTCGAACCAATCAAGTCTGAAAAACATACGAATTTTTATTAGTCGATTTTGTTTACTATCGAAGACGACAAACACGGAGAGATAGGGCAGCTATTAATTCGACTTACGTGGGATGCGTCAGAGGCACCTCCAGGATGAGCTCGGATGGTATATCGAAGTAATCAGGGTCGTGTCCGTTGGCTGACAACACTAAGGGTAAAATGTCCCATCGAGTGCCAGGTCCACGCCACCCCAAACGCAGGCAAACTTCGGTAAATTCGACATTGAGGGGATCACCGAGGATTGAGCCGTCCGGTTGCCGATAACCCGCAAAACCCAGTAGCTGGGGGTTCCACACCCTGTAGTCGTGTCGAGCGTCAGTTCTTTGAGGGAAGATTGTTATAGCAGAGCTGAAAAGCGAAGTAAGAACTGAATAAGCTTCTGGGTGAAATTTAGTAACGCATGCTAAATCATTTTCTGCGGAGATTTTGAGTTGTTGATTTTCGCTGGTTAATTGTGTGGCCGGTTTTGAAAGCGTCTATTGTCTTAAAGAAGAATGAATTCGAAGTTTGCTGAACTTTGAAAGTAATAAGAAAAGTAGATATTTGTGCATGCACATAAAATGAGTTTTTGGAAACAAGTTAATTTAGATTTGGAAATGAATATTTATTACGTGATTATCAGGAATGTATTTCTTGAGTTCGTGAGGGACGCAACAGCTCATTCACCTGTCAGGTATTAATTAAGTACTTGTCAATCGAGGCCACTTTCAGCCCTGGCTCTCCATCAAACTCGAGTGAAATTAAGCCTACGAAAGCACTTGGGTTGTGATTATGGAGAAATAATTTATTCTTTGAGTATTACAGCGGTGTGTAGTGAAAAATGTACATTTCTGTATTATCATAATTTCAGTTTAATTCAACGGGTTTACTGAGGTGGCGTTGGTTTCTTTCTTCATCCGTTTAGTGACTGCGCCAGTTTTGCGCTCGTGCAGAAAAATAACATCTCAGTTCATAAATTACGAAGATGTTATGATTAAAAACATTGCAGGGTTTTGAGGTATTATTTTTATTTTGTGTATTTTGCATTTGCAAGTGCATTTTAATATATTTTTTTTATCTTTTGTAAGTGAAATAACAATGAACCCATCAATGAATAGTAAATTTTGGCTTATAAATTCGCTAACTTGTACTCCTTCTTGTTTCTTTACGTCAGATTATTTTATAAAACAGCTGCTCCTAAGTTTTAAATAAAGTTCCATGCAGTTAACTTCTTTTATCTTTCAAGTTTTAAGCTGTTCTAAAATTTTCTTTACACATCAAAAAGTTTACCTAATAATCTTTATTACTTTCATTGATTAATAATTTCTGCAATCATTGAACTTGAAATTAGCCTCTGAAATATCGATGTTGTTGTCGTACATTGTTTCCATCCCTTCAGTGACTGCGCCAATTTGTATTCTTGTAGAAACCTCTCAACCTTGTGAGATAAGACGAAACTAAACGCAACCTTTCTAAAGATTCGCTTGAAATGAACTCGTGTATCACTTGTGCACTTGTCTCGATTCGAATTTCTAAGATTCTTGTAGTCAATAACACCCGAAACTTATTTCCGAAGAAGATGAAAATTAGTAAGATTCCGCGCAGCTTAAGTGCAACTAGTTCGACGATTTATTTGTAATGAAGTTGTGTTGTATCTTGTGCACTTGTCTGGTTCCAGTTGCTAGATTCTAAATTGCAAATCCTGGAATCTTGGTCCCTATGGGAATTTTCAGCGTCTGTGAATATCTATTTAAATAAAAAATAAAACAGTCTCTGGAGTGCAGTCGGATCTGGGTAACAATAATTTATCACGGACTGTTTTATCATTCAGTTTTTCCAAGTTGGCAGGTGGCTACTGAATGACGTCATAAATATGCCGAGCGACAGCGGGAGTCACGTGACGGCTCCAGAGTAGTGAGGATCCAATTTACATCAAACTAACTTTGACATAGGTGGATAAGAGGAATTTATGGCTAGGATGAGTTTGTCGATTTCATCTGGATTCGGTTTTTGTGTGAAATGAGGCAGTGGCGGCGATACGAGAGTGGACGTGTTTAAAAAATGTCACAATTTCGACTAAAGTCGTCGAAAAAAAATCGTTTGAACGTCACTGCTGCTCGTTTCATTTATGATATTATTAGTATTTATTGAGCATCTTTTTATAAAATCGCTTGATGTATTTGATCTTGATTAAATCCCTGCTGCCACGTCACGGTTTCCGACATTTCCCCTTCTCCGAAGTCTACCCAAAATTAAACGCTCCGTTATCTAAGAGTTGTTTTTCGCCTCCTCTGACACTTGATTAGCGCTTCTCCAACTAGAATTTAAAAGTGGATTTTTCGCCCTCAAACGTCAGCCTCAAGCTGCGATAAACGACCGTAATGGCCGCCATTGATAAAAGTGACGCACATACAAATAAAATGGAACCAACTCGCTTAATTAACTACAAATAATTCGCGATGGCATTTTGCAGAAACCTAATTAAAACTTGAATTAATTAACTAGTCGGCGACATCTTTAATTAACACAACAAAAATCGCCAAGATGGCGTTCCTTTCCGCCTATGCTTTTAAACAAATCGTTCTCTTTGTTGCATTATTGATGGCACCTTTTGATCTACACTAGTTGATAAAAATGCCCTACCGCCACTCCTTGCTCTATAATTCAGACCGGGTTGCTTTCCTGAGGGAAAAAATGGGGGATGCAGGTGCGAAATTAAATACAGGAGAGGATTAATCCTCAGAAAATTCAGTTTGCTTTCGGGAAGTTTTTTTAATTTATATAAATGATCGAGGGTCGGTCGGATTTTTTCCAGAGCGACGTTTAAATCGAACTTTTGGCGATGTTTTTTGTATGTAAATGGCTTTATTTCACAGACGAGCTGTTCGCTGATAGGATTCTAATCTAGATTCAAAGGTTTACCGGTGCTGGAAGAAAACATTGGATGTTGGACGTTCATTTGAAAAAAATCCGCGAATGGTCCCGTAACGTCGGGACCAGAGATAAATGGCGGAGGGAGAAGTTTGTCCGGAACGTTTTCAGACGCTCAAATCGCAATTTTTTCGCATTTTCGGAGACATCCGTTCGGTGACTGCGCCATTTTAGGCGACCAGCTGCATACGTTCAATTTTTACCGGCAATATTTTAACAAAATCGCTAAAATTTAAATTTTATATCACCGGAATTTTATTCATATCGTGACAGAGGTCTGTCTATCTTAATTCTTCTATTTTCATATGTTATGTGACTGCGCCATTTTCGCGTCCTGGTCGTGTTTCTAGGGAAGTGGAAGCCCTGTGTTCTGTTGTAGTATTGGTAAGTATGTATTTTTCATTTCGGGAAGAACACCGTTCCCGTTTTCTTAGCATTAACACATCAAACTCTTTAATATTTTCGTTGTAGTTTTCCATCGTGGAACCTCTAGTGCGATTACTTTGAATTCATGGCAGCCGTCTCTTCGGAAAACAAATCGCGAATTCGTCTGCTTTCTTGAGAAACATGTCAATAAATATGTACATTGAAAGACGCCAGAATCAATACGTGCGATCAAATCAAGCTGAAGAGCCGAAATTTTCCGACTAACAAAGGAGAAACGCAAAGTTTCCCCCGCACTGTTTTCCGGTGATTTGTGTTATAGTCTAACTGTAATTTCGCATTAATATGTATAAACAAGCTGTCAGAGCGGGCCCAGCGGATCACAGTCTGGATATTCTAAGCGACAAGGAGTATAAACAGACGAATACATTACCCGCCTGAAATTTATCCTTCGAATAGGACTTTATCTTTCTTAGCGGCCAGAACTGTATCGCAAATATTTATTTTTCGTAATTGTTCGGCGACGGTTTTCATTAATTTCCAAAGCGCGGAGTTGGAGATTCGTGCGACGTGTGTCTCTATATCCGGTGAAAAATGTCGATAGCTTCCGCTCCTCTCAGTTACAATAGGGCCACAAGTGGCGGTTGACGTCGATGAAGAAAATTCAAATTGAAAATCAACGCTAGGTGCCGTCTAAACATGAATGGATAAAGTTGTATTATGGATGGAATATTGTTGATCGGAATGAATAGGGGGATGGAAATTATGCGTTCAGCGAGCACTTGGGTGGAATCCCAACAAAACTCTTTCGACAACAGAAAAGCCTGATGCAATATCCAGAGGCGGACTGACGCGAGCTTGACTTTCTGCGTCTTTTGTAGACGCCGACTGGCAGCTTCAGCATGCTAAGTCTTATTTACTCAATAATCAGTTCAAAATGCTGATGCCTTTTGTTTCGAGTTTGGTGAGTGCATCCGTTCGATGACTGCGCCACTTTCAGAGCGCGGAGCTGCAAAGTTTTCAAAATGTGCTTTATTGTTGGGTTGTTGAATACAACCAGGTAAGATAAGCTCACTTTTGTAAAATAAAGACAATCAAAATCTCTGTTTTCAGTGGATATAGTTTTCGTTCGGATTTTTCAGACAAGATTGAATTTCTTCGCTTGTTTAGTGAGATTCCTCGAGTTGAACAGTGTTGTGACAGGTGCTTTATATTTTCTGAACTTTGTTCGCTACTCTCATCGGGCTGGTTTTTTCAATGTGTTTTTGTTTTCTTAATTTCTATCTAGTCTTATGTGTTTTTTGTTAATATATACGTTAAAAAAGGCGGCGGCGAATTAAAGAAATAAATACGATTTTTCCATGGTCAAACAAAAATTTTGAAACCCGTTGTTGAAATAGATGATCATTATCTTGTTTCTTTATTTTTAATTAATTTCAGTGTTTAGTTTTAGCGTTGGGTTCCTTTCGCAACTAGGAAAGTATCCGTTCGACTGCGCCAATTACACGTGATCCAACTTGAGGAAATTTTGGTCCAATTCCATGCACCTAAAATACACGCACTGGAATCGTTTTTTAACGAGCAGCTTATCTCTAAGCAGTCAGTGCGTTTCGGGCAACTTCCCCGAAATAAAATTTTGATTACGCCCTTATATTTTTTTAATAACTAAACATTTTCTCCGAAGAACGAGAACGTGGAATTAAGTCTGTCCATCAGGAAAACTCCCCGACGTTTCAAACAAACTTTTCTCGATTTGCCGCCCTCCTTACGTAATAACCGCCGCTTAGTTAGGTTAGCAGCTTTCGCCGTATCTCCGCCGACATCCTATTAATTTTTATAACAAGACAGTAAATCCATTAGTCAAAAAGCGTGACAGTTTGACAATATCAAATGATTAAACCATCTGTGTTGCCCTCGAGTTAAATTCATACCATCAGGGGATTTGTAGACGGATTTTTCCCGACGAAATTTTTCTTCGTTTGTAAACTACCACACAATTTTTAAGTCGAAAATACGCCGGAACTAATCCGGTCTTTGTCTGTCTGCGCCCGGAAAATCCCCGGATCGGAACGAATGTTTAAGCAGGAGAGGATTAGCGGCCGCGTATCGGACCCAGCCGATGTCGTCGAACGGTTTTTGAATGGTGTAGAGTTAGCAAAAGAGTACACAGCTTTGCTGTGCAAGGAACTGTGAGAAAAGTTGATGGAAAGTGTATCTAAGTTTAAATATAGTTAGAGAGCCAGTAAGAAATTAAATAACTCAGTTCTATTAATTGTGCACTTCACCTTTTCAAATTGCTATCTTGACTTTTTCTCGAAAGGATTACAGAAGCATTTATATCCAAAATTCTCAGTAGAACATCCTGTATCTATTCTGTCAGTACTTATTGGTATATGTGGAGAATTACTTATTCTAAGACAAAATAATACCAACACAAATTAAAATTGACTTGTTAACCAAGAAAAACTAACTGGAACTAGCGATATTTAAATCCCTGTAGGACTGAATCGTAGTCAATTTGTTCTCTTATGCTAAAACATGTAAGTGGATTTGTGTTCTGACGGTCGGCTATTTATTTCGTAACAAAAACACTGACAACGAATGCGTGGTCTTTGTGGTGATTTAATTTCGTAACAAATAAAGAAGTAAAAATAACAACAATTTGTATAAAACAAAATTTTTAATATCAATTAACTATGTTTCTGAAAAATTTCAACACTTCGTTAAAAATTAACTTTCGAAGTGTGAGGGTTTCTGAGGGCTTAAACTCTACCAGCATCCCTTAACCCGCGATAATAACTCTACGAACCCGCAACACACCCAAAATCCCCCAACCGGTTTGCTACAGAACTGAGGGTGTCCTCCCAAACCGCAGCTAAAAATCTGCGGCAATGGATTACATGGTTAACGTCTTACCGGATGTTGCCTTTGTTGGTGCTGTATTTGATGTGGTTGCACAGCGCCTCGAACATTCCACTGGTGGTGGTCACATAACGGCAGTCAAAAACCTGAAAGCAAATTTCAACGTGATTTGTCTAGTTCATACATGTTGGCATCAAGCCGACATCATGCAAACAAGCCCAGTTAATAGCAAAGTCCACAAGAATACGAACTTCTGCTTTAATGTTCCCTTTGTTTCGAAACAGCCAATATCAAAGTTCGATTATGAGGCGTTTCATCCGTTCGCTTTTTTGCGTCGAGTGTTAATCTCGGGATTGCGTGTTCATGGAATGCCAACGACGCTTAAGACGGAAAATTACACCCTCAACCCTTGTGTTGCAGTAATCCTCGGGCGTATGTGGATGTGCCTCCCTTGACGGAACACCGCCTCCGGGAAACTTTCGTCTGACATGATCAGGGTGTATCGTCCTGAGATAAATTTAATCGGAACGTACATATGGGGTTTTTTGCTTCTTCGATCGGGTTATAAATAAAGTGGAGCAAAAATAAGGGGTTTTTAAGGGAAAAACGTCACACTACTTTAAATATAGATTCAGTTATTCTGAAAGTGTTGTTAAATGACCTTTACTAAGCGAATGAAAATGAGAATACACACATAAAAAACTATTATGGATTCTAGTCTGACGACGAACCCGTGCTTTAGTCACGAGTTTAACAAACAGCACAGTAAGACTTAATTAAAATATGTAAAATATTTACATAATATTTTACCAGTTTTCTTGTAAAATTTTCAGAGTTGAGTCGTGCGGCAGCGAACCTTGAATGTTATTTTTCTCCCAGGGACAGTTACGTGTACTTAAATAGTCATATGTAGGTCAGGTCAGGTCAGGTCAGGTCAGGTCAGGTCAGGTCAGGTCAGAGTTGTCTAGTTTTTGGCAATTATAGACTTTTTCTTGGTTGTTAAAAATCACAGAAAATGTTAGAAGCCGGATTTTTTGCTACATATATAGTTGAGTATATTTGTCAGATATACTCAAGTTTGCCTTGAACATCTCAGACTTGGAAAAATAGAGTTTTATTTAGTATGTGGTCCGAGTTTTAACAAAGGTTGCTTGTAGAATTTTCAACCAACATTTCTAAAGATCCAGGTTTAGGCAGAAACACAATGAGAAAATGCTAAAGTTTGACTCAGCCAAATTTCATTTTTGGTTTGAATTATGTAGCAGCGAACATTTTGGATCTGTCAGTTCCAGGTTTCGTATAAATGCCAATTCAGCAAATGCTAGTTGTGGTATTTTTAAACAGCATTTTTAATTTATAGGTATTTCTGAGGTTCTAAGTCTGCCAAATGTACTCAATTTTGCCGAGATCGTCTCAGATTTAAGATTTAGATGGTCAAAATTTGAGAAATTCTGAGTTTTAGTATATTCAGCCAAAAGTTTTAGGTTACCCTTTGGGTATAAAGCACGATGAGAAAATTATATCTAACCCTCGCCAACTTTTATCTCTGGATTTCAACTATATAACAGCGTTTTCTGGGCATTGTGGGTCTGTTAGATATAGCTACTCAAAATTGTCTAAATCATCTCAGAATTGGAGAGACAGTGTTTTCTTCAGTTTTTTTTTTGGTTTGGCAGTTTGGTATAATAAATGGTCAAAATTTCAGTAAAAGTTAGTTGTGATGTTTTTAAACAGCATTTTTAATTCATAAACTTTCAGGTTACCAACACGACGAGAAAGCACTAAAATCAGATGTTAACCTCGCAAAATTTTATTTCTGGATTTGAGTTATGTAGTACCGATTTCTGAGGATCTGAGTCTGCGAAATGTATTTAATTTTGCCTATATCGTCTTAGATTTAAGATTTGGATCGTCAGAATTTGAGAAATTCTGAGTTATAGCCTATTCAGCCAAAAGTTTTAGGTTACCCTTACCAGCACGACAAGAAAGCACTAAAATTGGATCTAAATCTCTCAAAATTTAATTTCTGGATTTGTATGAAATGTATTCAATTTTGCCTACATCGTCTCAGATTTAAGATTTACGTGGTCAGAATCTGAGAAATTCTGAGTTGTAGTATATTCAGCCAAAAGCTTTAAGTTACACTTTGGGCATAAAGCAGAATGCGAAAATTAGATCTAAACCTCCCTAAATTTCATTTCAGGATTTCAGTTATGTAGCAACAAGTTCTAAGCATTTTGAGCAAGATATATTCAAGTTTGTCCTTTTAGATTTAGAAAGTTTTGCTGCTCTTTTTGTTCACGAGTCTTGTTTCTTAGTTTTTTTGACCTTAAAGTTCTAGGTTTGGTGCAAATGGTCAGAATCTCAAAAAATCTTAGGTGTAGTATTTTTAGACGGCTTTTCCAATTTGTAAAGTTTCAGGTTATCCTTTGGGCACACACGCGATGAGAAAATGCTAAAATTTTATCCAAACCTTGCGAATTTTCATCTCTGGATTTTAGCAATGTAACAGTTTCTTCTGAACATTGTGGGTCTGTCAAATTCAAAAGTGTCTAAATCATTTCAGAATTGGAAAGAAAGTGTTTTCTTCATTTTTTTTTTTTTGACCTGGCAGTTCTAAGTTTGCTACAAAGGGTCCAAATTTCAGCAAATGTTAGTTGTGGTATTTTTAATCGGCATTTTTAACTTATAAACTTTCCAGTTATCAGAACCTGCAGAAAAAATAAAATTAGATCTAAACCTTGCAAAATTTTTATTTTTGGATTTGAGTTGTGTGGTACGGAATTCTAAGGTTCTGACTCTGCCAGATGTACTCAATTTTGCTTAGATCGTCTCCTATTTAAGAATTAGGTGGTTAGAATCTGAGCAATTCTGAGTTATCGTATATTCAGCCAGAAATTTTAAGTTATCCTTTGGGTGCAGGCACGCTCAGAGAATGCTAAACTTAGATCTGAACCTCGCAAAATTTCATTTCTGTATTTCATTTATGTAGCACCGAGTTCTAAACATTCTAAGTCTGCCAGATATATCCAACTTTGCCCTTTCAAATTTGGAAAAAGGGGTGTTTTTTAGTTTTTTGGACCTCAAAAATCTAGGTTTGGTGCAAATGGTCAAAATTTCAGCAAATATTAGTTGTAGTATTTTTAAGCAGCATTTTTAATTTATAAATAAACTTTCAGTGTACCAGTACTACGAGAAAACACTAAAATTATATCTAAATTTGGAAACATTTTATTTTAAATTGTTGGGGTTCTGAGTTTGCCAAATGTACTCAATTTTGCCTAGATCGTATCAGATTTAAGATTTAAACGACCAGAATTTACCCTTTAGGCATACGCGCCATGAGAAAATGCTTAAAGTAGATCTAAACCTCCCCAAATTCCATTTCTGGATTTCAGTTATGTAGCAACGAGTTCCAAGCATTTCGAACCAGATATATTCAAGTTTACTCTTTTAGATTTGGAAAAAGGGAGTTTTCTTCATTTCTTGACCTCGAAGTTCTAGGTTTGGTGCAAATATTCAAAATCTCAGCAATTGTTAGGTTTTAATTTCTAAAATTTCAAATAGTTACTCTTTGGGCCCAAACGCGGTGAGAAAATGCAAACATTTTATCTAAACCTCGCCAAATTTTATTTCTAGATTTGAGTTATACATATAGGAGCGAGTTTCGAGCACTAGCAGATATCCTCAAATTTGCTTCAATTAGAAATGGAAAAAAACTATTTTCTTCGCTTCTTTTGATCCGACCTCTATTAGGTGTGTTAGATATACTTAAGTATACCTAAATCGTCTTAGAATTAGAAAAAAGTCTTTTTGAGTTTTTTTGCTTTGTGAGCTCAAGGTTTGGCGTAAATGATGAGAATCTCAGCAAATGTTAGTTAACGTTCCTAAAGTTACACTTTGTCAACATTTATTTCTTGATTTGAGTCATGTAGCTGCGAGTGTTGAGCCCTTTAGAATCTGGTAGGTATACTAAAATTTGCCCAAATTATCTCAAAATTGAAAAAAGGGTGTTTAACCTAAGAGTTCTAAGCTTGGAGTAAATGGTCAGAATTTTAGTAAAAATTAGTAGTAATATTTTCAACTAGCATATCTAATTTCTAAAAGTTTAGATTCCCCTTTGGACACACTAAGCCGAAAAAACTCTAAAGTTAGTTTTCAGTCTTCCAAAATTTGAAAATTTCAGGTTTTGGTCTAAATTTTTTTGATTTGGAAGTTTCAGGTTTTGGTGTAAATGGTCACAATCGTAGCAAATATTAGTTATTGTAATTAGTATAGTCAATCAGCAGTTTTAAAATTTCAGGTAACCTTCTGGCCAAAAACACGATACGATAACGCTTAAATTAGACCTAAATCTAGCCAAATTTCGTTTGTTGCTTTGAGTTCTGTAATAGCGAGTTCTCAGATTTCTCAGTCTGATAGATATACTCAAATTTAGCCTAAATCGTCTCAGGATTGGAAGAAGAGACTTTTCTTTAGTTTTTCGGATCTGGAAGTTTTACGTTTCAATGTAAACGGTCAGAATATTAGCAAATAAGATTAATTGGAATTACTATTGTCAATCAGGTGTTTCAAAGCGAATACGAAGAAATAAAGATTTTGAAATTAGGCTCCTCCCCCTTGGCTCACGATCAATAAAAAAATTATCACAATTGTGATAGGGAGGGTGGCCTGTTTTTATTAATGTGTGTATTCATCTTTTCACAAGAAGAAACTTAAAACATGTTTAAAATCGTAAATTTGTAGAAGGAAATATCGATTCTGCAATTACGCTCCTCCCCACGATTACTTAAGAACATATTTCACATGGTAATTTCTAGTATAAAAATAAGGATTTTACAATTAACTCGGCTTACGACAAATAAAAAAAATAATGAGAATTGAGATAGGGTGGGTGGGCGGGGCTTATACTTTGCCTTTTATTCTTAATATCATAGCCATCTTTTCACAACAAGAAACTTTAAACATGGTTAAAATAGTTTCAACAAGGAAATATGGATTTTGTAATTATGGGGCGGAACCTAATTGCAAAATTGATATTTTCTTATACAAATTTTCCAATTTAAACATGTTTTAAGCTTTATGTTGTGAAAAGAAGTCTACACATATTGAAACAAAAAAGCAAAATGTAGCCCCGCCCACCCACCCTATCTCAATTGTGATGATTTTTTTATATTCACCGTGAATCAAAGGAGCGAAATTTAATTGCAAAATTTTTATTTCTTTACAGGAAATTAAAAACATGTTTTTGAGTATCGTGTTGTTCAAACAATACAACGTATATTAAGAAAAAAGAGGCAAAATATAAATCCCACCCACCCACCTCATCTCAATTGTGACGATTTTTTTTATTCTTAGAAACATAAAACACGTTTAAAATGGTAAATTTTTGTAAGGAAATATGGATTTTGCTATTAGGCTCCGCCTCTAAGTCTGCCACCGAATGAAAACTTCATTACCTAGTATTTTTGGCTTTAAATTTTTTCTTAATATACATAGTATTCTTTGAACAGCACGATACTCAAAAACATGTCTTTAATTTCCCATAGAGGAAAAAGGATTTTGCAGTTTAGCCCCGCCTTGTTGGCTCATGACGAATAAAAAAAAAATCATCACAATTGAGATGGGAAATAGAATCTCAACACAGTCCTAGGTTCCACTTTATGGACATAAGTATAATGAGAAAATGCTAGAATTAGACCTGTATTAGGACAAATTTCAGTAACAGATTTGAGTTGCGAATTTACAGCAGAAAATTTTGAGCATTCTGTGTTTTCTTAGTACATCAAGAGGAAGCTAAAATAAAAGTACCTACTTCAATCAGGCTAACTATGGAATACATTATGATGTTTTTTGTTTTGATACGTCTTTAAACAAGTCATTAAGGGGCTGCGAAAAGGAGTTTTTTTTTTATTCAACGTCAGCATATCGGGTCAGAGTGTCCAATGCAGATGCTGGTACTACATTTCATTCTCCACTATTCGCATTTATATAGGTTTAGTTCTTTTTATGCGAGAAAACAGCAACATTGTCGGCGAACTGCGTAATATACGTCCAACGTGGAAAGGAATCAGCGTGGAAAAAACGAAAAAATTCCCCCCGATTGTGAAAGTCCTCGCCTGTGGTGGCAATAAAGACCCGCATTTGGTAGAAAACACGCGACCTGAGCTTTGCAGAGTGTGTAACTTCTCTTGCAGGTTTGTTTACTAATGAGGTGGCAGCGCAAGTCCTCTTGTGCCGTCCCTGCGTAAATCCTCGTGTCCCCAAAAAAACTCCCTGTCGATTCCCGCAATAACACGGCCATTAAGCATCGTTTTCCTACTGTAAAGAAGCAATTCCCAGTTTATCTGTAGTAGAGGGCGCGCCGACGCGGCAGGAATCTCGGTTAGATTAAAAGAGTCTGAAAATAAACTAAGCATGAAAATCATCCGGTACAAATCCAAGTCAACTCGAGCGTGACTAGTTTGAATAAAGCAAACAAGAGATTCGTCTTATTGACGTTCGACTTGATTAGCCTGAATCAGCGTTTTGACATTTCTTTTACGCAGAAGGTCTGCTCCTCTAGAGGACACTTGTCATCCCCTATTCAAAAAAAGCAGGTCGATGATGCGCCGCACGTCTCGGTTTACGGCATGGATTAGTCGTAAAAGGGTGTTGCAGAAGATGGTTATCCTTTGCGTAATAGGATTATGAACGTCGTGAGGATTAAATTTTTCTCGCTGGTGCATTCCGAAGAATTTCTTGCGGTCTCATACATATTCCGAACGCAATAAACACGAGTGGGTGAGGAATAAGTTGTCCACGGTGATTATGCAGCGAAAGCTTGTTCAAGTAAATGCTGGCAGAATGCCACGCTGGAAAAAGCGACTCTTGAAAGCTCTCCCACAACAGAGGAGTTGTTAAGTTTCGCGAAATGGGAGAATTAGGTGATGATATACAGAGGAGGGTTATAATTTTCGCGTTACGCGGACGACGTGCTCCATAAAGGAGGGCTGTTGTTTTTTAACATCCACATACGTCGTAGGTGTCATATGTCGATGTGCTCCCAGGGGACTCGCAGAGACGCGGATAGGGACAGGGAAAGCTGGAGACACACCCCCTGAAACGTAAACCTCGACCTAAAATCGCAAATAATGTACCCCCAAAGGTTCCTGCGGAGCACCGTCGTGATACCAAATTGACTATGAAATAAATCTTTAAATATGATCAAATAAAACCAAATTGATCGAAAATGAAAAAGTTAAAACATTGAAATTATATTACCTACTGTATTTCGTGTTTGTAGTTATAGAACGTAATTTACATCCTACCGACTGCGCCATGTCATGTTAAATAGTACATGATGTAGCTTTTGGAATTATTAACGATTGTTGACTTTAAGCATTTTTTTCATAAACATAGCGTCGTTATTTCGTTATTATGTGACAAGACTGACAAGAAAATGAAACAGCTAAATTAAATTACGCAACTCCACCCTCGTGATTTTTCGCAATATGATGTACGCAAATATTTAATTTTTCTCATGTTGCATTTTGCTTTAAATAGAAATATAATTTGTTTTTTATGCTTGTACTTTGATTTTCAAGAATTTTAGAAAGGTATCAATAAAAAATTAATAAAGAGCTACAAAACAATAAAGTAAGATATTTCCTATATTTGGTAGAAAATCTTCGCGAGTTAATTCTTAATTACTTACATATATGTTAACTTCAAAATATATTTCACTCTTTTCACATTTAATACATATATGTTGGATTCTGACCACAGCTATCTGATTTTCTACCCTCTGAATATGTTTGTTGGTTTTCAAAGCACGTCCACTAAAGAATTTGTTTGACGGCGAGGGTCTAATTTTCATGAAACTCATTTTGAATAACCTAAGCCGAATAATAATAATACTTATCCCATTTAAGTCCGTCCAGTCAATCAGTCGTTTCAATTCCGAACAATAGTTCCGCGAATTAATTATTTACCACACTTACCAAGTGGGCTATTGAGCTCTAAACCTATCGTGTTTGAATAAGCCCGTACCTCAAGGGGTAAGCAAACACTAACAAAAGACGAAATGCAGCACAAAAATACCTTGGATCGTTGCACAACTATACAAAAATTCCTAAATTATTTGACCAAAGAAATCTTTATTTGTTAGCTACATATTTTAATTCAGTGCCCCATTTTTTCGTCCTACCTTCAACCCCGTCAGATCTTATCCTTAAAAAAAAAACTGGTGACATGGCGAAAGTCGCCTCCAGCACCTCTATTATCTCGTCCACCTAAATAACTTACGCCGATCCTTTGTTATTGAAAGCAAACGCAAACACTCGAGTCGAACGTGAATAGCTCTATAAACTCCCTCAGCCCCTATAGAACCACTCACCTGCAGTTTGGACCACTGAATTCTCCCGATGCATCTGACGGAGTTCCTCCAGGCCAACTTCGCGCCATAAACGAGTTCAGTTTCTGTGAGTTGGTAAGTTCCTGTCGTGGACATTTCCTTCTGGACTTGTTCCCATCGCGAAGTATGTGCCGGGCTGTTGGCCCTGCAAACAAAGACACTCGAATAACAAGCGAAAACTAAGTCGTAATGGGGAAAAGTTTAGAACAAGTACCTAGAATTTGGTAAATAACTCTCGGACAACCAGTTTTGATGCTTTATTTTTTAGAAAATTGAGGTTCATTTATATACGTTTTTAAATTTACACTGTTCCTTTTGTTATAATTTTAGTAATTAATAAATTATTATTTCAGTTAAATTTAAATAGGTATGTGCTCTTTTATTCGTTCATCTGCATAGTGTTGATAAGCCCACGACTTTCGTAAATGTTGACCTTCCGTAATTTAAATTTTGAACTTTACTTTAGACGTATTTATAAACTTTGGTTACTTACAATTTTAATTAGGGTTAGATATATGTATATTCATGAATAGCGTCTGTTTCGTGTTTATGCAACCCAAAATATACTATCACATTTTTTTAAGCTAAGGAAGTATTGTAGTTGAATTCATTGGACGACTGGCTACTTTGATGTTTTCTCGATCCTTAGAGTACGAAAAAATAGGTTCCCCGTTTCCGTCTGTCTGTATGTCTATCTGTCCATCTATCTGTATATCTGTCTGTCTGCCGTATGTCCGAATTTTTATTAGACAGATAATCTCTGGAACTACTGGACTGATTGTTGTCAAATTTTATGTGTATTATGAACATCGTGTAGATAGTCACAGCTACCCAAAATTTGGATAAACATCTCCATCATCAATAGGATGACGTCATCTCCAAAATTTACATTAATAAATATAATTTTAATTTTAAAAAATAAGATATGTACTTCACATGTGATTTTTGAATCCGGATTCAGCTTTTACCCTAGACATCCAGATTTTAGAAAAAAGAAAAAACAAAATTGTATAACATTTTACAATTTAATTTTGAAGCTACAAAACCGAATGCTCTGAATTCTCTCTGAAATATGCAAAATATTATGAGTCTATAATTCTAGTTAATTAATTCACTTATAGTTTTTAGTATTATATATACAGAGTGACTCAAAATAATTTATAAACTTATTTTAAAAAATAAATAAAATTTGCAAAATCAAATCTTATAATTTTTCGAAAAATCTGGATCTATTTATATTCGATCAAATATCATTATTTAACACCATTTTCCGTATTTCCTTTTTCTGCGATTTTACAATTTTTTGATATCTCGGTTTCATAATTTTTGTTTTTTTTTCGACTTTATTTTTTCAATTTTCCAATTTCTCAACTTCCAGATTTTTCAATTATTCATTTTTTCAATTTTTCGATTTGCAATTTTTCACTTATCGATTTTTCAGTTTTTTCTTTATTTTCAATGGGATTATCTTAAAAAAATAAAATTCGCTAAATCAAATCTTATAATTTTTCGAAAAATCATTTTTTCAATTTTTTGATACCACAATTTTAACTTTTTCTTTGATTCTACAATTTTTTTATATCATTAATTTTTTTTTATTTTTTTATTTCTCAATTTTTCCATTTTTCAACGTTTCGGTTTCATAATGTTTCGTTTCTTCAGTTTTTCTAATTGCAGTTTCTTAATTTTTTGGATTTTTAAATTTTTATTTTCTCGATTTTATATCACTTTTTCGTTTCTCTATTTCCTGTATTTCTTTTAATGAATCTTTCGATTTTATAATTTTTCGTTTGTTCAATTTTTCAACATTTCAATCTATGATTTTTCAATTCTTCGATTTTCCAAATTTAAAATTTTTCAATCTTGTAATTTTGGATTTCTGAATTATCCGATTTTCCGATTTCCTTAATTTGAATATTTCGCTTTTACAATATTTCTTTTTTCTATTTTGCGGTTTCCCAATCTTTAATCTATGGATTTTTAAATTTTTCGTTTCTTCAATTTTTCAAGTTCTTGATTTTCAATTTTTAGATTTTGCAAAGTTTTCATTTTATATTTTTGCATAATTTGAACTTCGATTTTTCAATTAAACAGTTTTACAATTTGTCCATTTTTTGATTAGAAAAGTTGAAATATCGAAAAATCTAAAAATTAAAAATTAACACACTAAAAAATTGCAAAATCGAAAAAGTGGAAAATCGAAAAATTGCAAATAGATGAACCGAAGGAACGAAACATTGAAAAATTAGAAAACCCAAAAATTGTAAAATTGAAAAATTCGTCAAATCTTCAAAATTGTGAGGTTGAAAAGCTGTAATACTGAAAGATCGAAAAGTTGAAAAATTAAATATCGAGAAATTCGAATGAAAAATGAAAAAATCTAAAATTGTAACTGAAAAATTGAAAAATTTTAAAAATTGTAATAATTACTACATACATATTTAAAATGAAAATTGCATATTAAAAATTGAAGAAACGAAAAATTGAAATATAGACAAACCGAAAAACCTAAAATTTGAAAAATCGGAAAATTCCAAATCGAAAAATTAAAAAATAAAAAAAAAATTCACATTGAAAAAAAAAAGAACAATTATAAATTAGAGCATTGAAAAACCAAAAAATTAAAAAATAAAGAAAATAAAAAACCGAAACGAAAAATTGGAAACCGAAAAATTAAAAAAATGAAAAATTGAAAAATCAAAAATTTGTAAAATTTAAAAATCGAAACATCCAAAAGTTGAAAAATTTAAAAATGAAAACTCGAAAAGTCACATATCGTAAATTTGAAGAAACAAAAACAAAATAAAAAACTGAAAAAGCGCAACCAAAAAAATTCAAGAAACAAAAAATCGGAAAAACTGAAATTGAATACCCAAAAAATTATAAATCGGAACATTGAAAATTCGAAAGATTTTAAAAATAAAGAAAATAAAAAGCCTAAAACAAAAATTGCAAATCGGACATTTAGAGAATCGAAAAATTGATAAAATAAAAATTGAGAACTTTTGCTTCTTTACATTTACATCAATATTATGCATATATCTTTATTTTTGCTTATAGGGTTGTCATAAAAAATAAAATTCACAAAATAATATCTTACTTATATAATTTTCGAAAATCTGGATTTCTTTACCTATGACGAATTTTTAGTTATCACAAGTTTTCGTTTTTTCATTTTCTTTATTTTTTCAATTTTTCCATTTTTCAATGTTTCGCTTTCAGAATTTTTTGTTTTTTCAAGGTTAATTTATTCAATTTTTTAATATGTCGAGTTCCAAATTTTTCAGATTTTCAATTTTTCCTTTCCTAAATTCTTTAAGTCCTTCATTTTAATTATTTTTCTGATTTTTTAATTTTCAATCTTCACATTGAAAAAAAGGAAAATCATAAAATCAGACTACTGAAAAACTGAAAAATTTTAAAAATACATTAAGGCAAACGAACCGAAACGAAAAACTGACGAAATAAAACATTAAAAAAATTGAAAAATTTAAATCTCCTGAAATTGAAAATCGAAAAATTGCAAAATCTAACAACTGAAAATATTAAATGTTGGAAAACTGAAAAAACGAAAAATTTAAGCTCGAAAACTAGAAAAATTGCAAATAAAAATTGACGTAGTGAAAGACTGAAAATGGAGAAATTGAAAAACGAAAACTCGCAAATCGAAAAATAAAAAGTGCTAAAAGTGAAAAATTTCACATTGAAAAAAGAAGCGTTATAAAATCAGAACATTGAAAAACCGAAAAATTGAAAAACTAAAAAATTAAAAATCGAAATATCCGAAAGTTGAAAAATCGAAAAACTGGAAAAATTAAAAATGAAAAGTCAAGGAGTTACATATCGTAAAATTGAAGAAACAAAAACAAAATAAAATACTGAAAAAGTGCATTTGAAAAAATTGAAGAAACGAAAAACTGAAAAATCTGAAAGTGAAAACACAAAAATTTATAAACCGGAAAAATCGAAAGATTATAAAAATAAACAAAAGAAAAAACCGAAAAGAAAAATTGCAAATCGAAAATTCAGAGAATCAAAAAACTGAAAAATAAAAAATTGAGAACTCGTGAAATTTTAAATCGAAAAATCCCTAAAACTTGAAAAAATCAAATGTTGGAAAATTGATAAAATAAAAAATTTAAGCTCAACAATTAGAAAAATTGCAAATAAAAAATTGAAGTGGCGAAAAACTGAAAAATCGAGAAATGAAAAATTTAAATTGAAAAATTAAAATTGAAAACTTAAAATTGAAAAACTAAAATTGAAAAATTAAAAATGCTAAACGTGAAAAATTTCACATTGAAAAAAGAAAAGTTATAAAATCAGAACGCTGAAAAAGTGAAAAATTGAAAAAAGGAAAAATTATTGAACCATCCAAAAGTTGAAACAAAAGCAAAATAAAAAAAAAACCGAAAAAGTGCAATTAAAAAAATTGAAGAAACGAAAAATTAAAAAAATGTAAATTGAAAACACAAAAAATTATAAATCGGAACATTGAAAAATCGAAAGATTGTAAAAATAAAAAAAAAACCTAAAAGAAAAATTGCAAATAGAACATTTAGAGAATCGAAAAATTGAAAAATTAAAAGTTGAGAACTTTAGATTTGCATCAATACTACACATATATCTTTATTCATATTTACCTTTGACGAATTTTTTGTTATCACAAGTTTTCGTTTTTTCATTTTCTTTATTTTTTCAATTTTTCCATTTTTCAATGTTTCACGTTCAGAACTTTTTGTTTTTTCAAGCTTAATTTATTCAGTTTTTCAATTTGTCGACTTCCAAATTTTTCAGATATTTCAATTTCCCCTTTTTGAATTTTTCCTTTCCTAAATTTTTCAAGTCCTTCATTTTTATTCTTTTCCCGATTTTTTCACATTGAAAAAAAGGAAAATCATAAAATCAGAACATTGAAAATCTGAAAAATTTTAAAAATACATAAAGGCAAACGAACCGAAACGAAAAATTAACGAAATGAAACATTAAAGAATTGAAAAATTTAAATCTCGTGAAACTGAAAATCGAAAAATTGCAAAATCTAAAAACTGAAAAAATTAAATGTTGGAAAACTGAAAAAACGAAAAATTTAAGCTCGAAAACTAGAAAAATTGCAAATAAAAATTGAAGCAGTGAAAAATTGAA